GCTTGAGTAGAGAAATGCATTCGGACACTTCTGAGACTGAAGGCGACTCCATATTTACGGTCCACCTTTCTGTTGAAGGCCGGGTTTCTGGATTGGGGTTAGCAGGTGGCCAGCTGAATTGCTGTTCGAAGTACTGTGCCCAGCGGTCCAAACGTCCTGCTTTGCTGCATATCAGGTAGCCATTTTGGTCCCTGGTTATTTCGCTGACAAGAGGTTTCCGAGGACCAGTCGAACGAATCAAGTGGAACAATTTGCGCACGTTCAAAGTTTGATGACGATACCTGACTAGGGAGTCCTGACAAATGGGGTAACCGATCGACACAGTCAGGACAGTTACTGCCTCGTTGTCCAGGCGTTATTTGCGCACGTTCAAACGTTGATGGCGATACCTGACTAGGGAGTCCTGACAAATGGGGTAACCGATCGACACAGTCAGGACAGTTACTGCCTCGTTGTTCGAGGCGTTAGGTAGGCCAATCACACCGCTCAAGCGTGAACACGTCGTCTTGTCCAGACGTGATAATTCATATGTGTCCGGCGTGCGACGGTGGATTAGTGGCAACACGCACGCCTTGTAGGTCCGGAATTCAAACTCCGGAACGGCCAGGAATATATACTGTTGATGGGTTCTGATAAGAATGAAAGTCAAGTCTCCTTAAGTGTGGGCTCGTCAGAATAACTGCGCCAGGACAGAAGGGGAACTGTTACAACAAGAGTGATGCGAGCATGAATCCTCTAAATCCAGCAAGTAACTGCAACAAATAATCTCAAAATTAACTCTTGGAATGAGAAACGGGACGCTACAAGAGCTAGCAAATGATGCTTCAAATGGTTGACGCCGCTGCAAAAAAAGGACTTTATCGCGGTGAGACCAGTGGGTATATACCTTGACAGACGCAGGGTTTCCAATACCATGTTGGTCTGTGGACAGAGGTCTGACGAACAATCATCAGAGATAGCGACATCATATTGACACTGATGCTTCATTGCCGTGCACCCATAAAGTTCATCTAATCATATTTCAAGCGTTAAAGTGAAACGAAGAGAAAAAAGTGGGTGATGGAGGGGACCTGATGCTGGTCTATGTCAAGTATTCTGAGATGTATACACCGTCAAACGCTCAATTAGACGATCTGGAAAAAAACCGGCAGCACGAACGCCACTGACATCGATCAGTAGCCATTTCTTTCAATGTCTCTAGCCAAGCTTAGGAGTCAAGCAAAATC